GCAGGGGCGCCAGGGGCGGGGAGGGTCAGGGGTGGCAGTGAGGAATGGCCTGCACTGGTGATCATTGGCGGGGTGTTCTGTGCCAGGGCTCTGGACTCAAGGGCCTTTTACATAAAGCGGAAGTGTGTTTCCCGAGGGTTCATGATGGGGGGAGGGGCGCTCTTTGCCGAGGAAAGTGCCCCAGAAAGTGCGATGGACTCAGAGCTGGCGAGTGCAGGCAGGACCAGCTTTTGCGGGTGCCGGCTGTGAGTGGGGCTAACACCACCTCTCTCAGATGTGAGGATTAAATGGGATCCTCCCAGTGTATTCCTGAACCAGGGCCTGGTGCAAAGCAAATGCAAGTGCTTGGTGTGTGCTGGCCGCTGCGTCCCTTCCCTGCTCGGCAGCAGCAGCAGGAGACACTCCCCACGCCCCCCACCAGCAGGCAGCACTGAGGCCCACCTGGGAGTGAGCCTGAGCGCCTCCCTGTGCTTCTTCCGGGTAGTGAGGCTCGCGGTGCGTGCTCGGGCCTGTGAGAACAGACTGACAGGTCAGGGCCTCAGGTATCCTGTAAAGAGCAGGGACTTCACTGTATGCAGCAGGGAGCTGCTGGAGACGTTTGAGGCAGCGAAGAGCAGGGTCTGGTCTGTGCCCACGAAGGTGGGGCCTGAGATAGGAACCCAAGGGAGCAGTTCAGGGCCAAGGGCTGAGGAATGAGAGCAGGGAGGTCGGAACTGCAGCAAAAGTGGAGCCAGTAGGTGTTGGTGACCTTGGCAGGTAGGACTGGGGGGGTTAAAGGGGGTTACAGATTGGAGATGGGGAACGGGGAGCAGCGAGATACTGAGTTCATATTTGGACATGGTGGGTTTGAGGTACCCCCACAGAGTTCAGGGCACTGTTGAGTGGGCTCCCATTCCCCTGTCTTGCCATGTGATCTGTCTCAGCTCACCCCCTAGCCTCTGTGCTGGGTGCTCAGCCTGGCCTGGGACTGGGGACCCCTGCAGGGTAGAGCCCTGCTGTTCAGGAGGGACCCAACCGGCGGCCACTGCAACTATAGAGTATGTCCCTCCCCCACCCACTCAGATTTTAAAAAGCCCTCCCCTCAATTTCCTCCTCATTTCCATTAAACAAATAAAAACTATTTACAGGTAAGTCAAATATTCTTTAGTGGGTCAAAGGATTAAAAATGGAACTGGATTTTTGATGTGCCCGCTCTCTGCTAGAGGGAGCTGTGTAAAGATGCCCCTCAGGCCCTGGCAGGGGCTTATTCAGGCTTTGCTAGTGTTACTGGGAGGAGCTAGTGTCTCTGGGGAAAGGTGAGGTTCAGCCTTCATCATCTGGACTTTCATGGATGAGAAATCTGGGGAATTACCACAAAATGGGCAGCTGATTCAGAGAAGGGTGGATGTCATAACCACACAATCTCTTCACCCCACTCAGATTTTATAAACCTCATTCAGTGGTCATCCATTCAACACACACGCTCTTCCTGAGCATCTCCTGGTGTGTCACACATTGTATCCGGCTTTGGGGACACAGATACAAAGAAGCAGGATCCTCCATGGTGAGTCTCAACCTTGGGAGGAACTGAGGCACTGAGTGTCACCTCAACCCTTAGCCACCTGGGCCTAAGCCAGTGAGAGCATAGCCCAGCCACAGTGACAGGTTCAGAAGTGGGGATGTGGCCTGAAGCATTATAATCAGTGGGGACTAAGTACTTTAGTTGCATTGTCAAAGAAAAAGGAGTTTTCTTCCTCCGGATGCTGCAGAGGATAGGTGTGAGGCCTGGAACGGCTGCAATCATTTTGTAACCATGAAGGAAGCTGGGTAGAAAGGAGGTACTTATGCAGAGACAGAACTAGCGCCCTGATCAAACTGTGTCTGAAGCCCGTAGGGTGCCAGATTTTGCCATTTTGTGAGCTTTCACATTCCTCCTGTTTAAACCAATTTGTGGACCAAATGGTTCTAACGGAAATGGGCATCAGTTATGTGCCTGCCAGTTAGTCACGTGGCTAGGTCAGTCCTCATAGCAAGCCCATCATGCAAACACTGGCAGCCCCATTTGGCAGACGAAACTGCTGAAGCCAATGATGAAGTGACTTCCTGAGGCCACCCTGTTAGTAGCTGAGGAAGTCGGAGTTCCGACCATGACATTTGCCTTCAGAATCTGTTTTCTGCAAATCAAGGTGGACTGCTCAGTTGCTACTGGGGCACCATCCTCACATTCTTCTCTCTTTGGGGTTCTTCTGGGACCGTTTTCCTGGTTATGTTTTTGGAACTAGAGACTGGGTCACACTTCTCTCGGGCGTGCTGACAGAACACACAGGGGAAGCAGGCATCAGGAGGGCAGGCCGTGAGCTGCAGCCGTAGATGCTTGCAGGCAGCGTGGGGAAGGCTTTGGGGAGGCGAGATGCGCCTTTGCTGAGCCGGAACCACCGTGGGCCAGGTCTGCAGAGGCAGGGGCCCCTGGGGGCTCTGCAAGGGAAAGAGAATTCCGAGCTTCCTAGACGAGGTCAGCGCCTTGGCATGCAGACAGCTTTTCTGCGATGATGAACACTCTCCTTTTTGCTTACAGAGCAGACTTGCCATTTATATAAATTAATTCCAACTTGACATTTGGACCAAAGGAACTATTAACCCCTCATCTCCCAGAGGAGAGAGAGCTCATGGGGCCTGACCGGCAGGTGACCCCCACTGGGCTGCTCTGGCCCCATCTCTGGCTCCATGCTGGACGGCTTCACGCCTCCAGGAGTTGGGAAGCGCAGCTGTGCTTCCTTGGCTCATTTTTTCACGCTGGCTGCTAATGCTGGGGATGCGGTCAGATGTAAACCTCAATTTGCTGGGCAGGAGGGGCTGGTAGCTGCTGGGCTGTTCGAGAAGCTTCCTCCCAGCCTTTAGAAGCCAAATTCAGGGTGTAAAAGGGAAGAGCTATCCTTTGTTTTGCACAGAGCCATGTGCTTCTCCCGTTTTGCTGTTTATCAGATTCTCTGAGGGCCGGCAGGGGACAGACATGCATCACTGTCCTCATTTCACTCTGAGGGGGTCCATCCGCTTGCCCTTGTTGCTCAGCTGGCTGTTGGTCAGGCCAGTGCTTTCAGCCCCACAGCTGGTGCTGGCTGAGTGCAGGTTTGTGGCGAGATGGTGTGACCCCAGGGCCCTTGTGAGGGGGTGGCGGGGGGCAGGTCAGAATGAGGAGTTCAATGGCAGAATTGCTCCTGGGGCACCTGGCACCTCGCCTCTTCTGGGTGGGGTCCTCTGGGGCAGGGTCTGGGGGCGGTGTGGGGAGAAGTCCCCTATAACAGCTGGCACGTGGGGCCCTTTTGGGGGGGAGCGAATCTGGACTGGGCATTCACATTTATTTGTCTCTCAACATCTTTGCGGCTAAAGCGCTTCTTACAACCAAAGCTATTCCCACTTTTTCCAATGGGCCATGCAAATCTGACCCCTGCGATTCAGTGTTGTGACAACTCCTTCAGCTCTGGGGTGGTTCCTGCCTTTAGCCCTCTTGTCCCTCCTGCCCCGTGCCAGCTGAGGCGCTCAGACCCTCCCAGGCCCGGAGGGCCTCCCCTCACTTTGCCGTCTCCTGCTCCCTCACCCCTTAGCCCCTGGAACCTTCTGAGTGACAAGGAGGTTTTGACCGGAGCCCTCTGGTCCTCAGCAGCCATATGTGTGCCTAGGCTCCACCCCAGGAAGGCCTTCCCTCATGCGTCCATCCATCCACCCAGTTAACATGTATGTAGTGCTTCCCATGGGCCAGGCCTTTCCCCAGGAAGCCGATCCATGAGCTGGAACAGCAGGTACTGGAGTTGGAGACATTTCTTGTAAGGTGAGGGTTCTGTGACAAAGGGACATTTGGGGGTGCATCTGGTGTCAGTGATGGGTGGGGAGGGGACACAGGGCCCAGAGTGCAGGTTTCAGGCTGTTCACAGGGGCTGTTACCACCTGCCCACCCCATTCCGGGAGCTGCAGTGTGGAGCGCAGTGGGGGAGGAGTCAGGGACGAGAAGGACCCCTCCCCACCCCCAGAGCAGAGCCCATTGGAACGGTAGGCCCACCTCCTGAAGATTACTGATTCACAGACTGATTGATTAATTTTTAGAGAGAGAGAGAAAGAAAGAGAGGACAGAGAGAGGAACATTGATCTTTTGTTCCACTTATTAATGTATTCACTTGTTATTTCTTCTATGTGCCCTCACCGGGGATTGAACCTACAACCTTGGTATATTGGGACAATGCTCTAACCAACTGAGCTACCTGGCCAGGGCTGAAAACTGGAACTTAATTTGATCTATAAGCCGGGCAATTTTTATGAGAAAACTGCCTAGCCCCTCCCTCTGTTCATGGTGAAAGCTCACAGGATCCTGTGCAACAGAACTGAGGGGAAAACCCGCTTGTCTGGAACCCACTCTGCTGTGAGGGGCATCTGACTCTGTCTCAACCAGTTAAGACTCCCCGCACTTGCATCCAGCCTCCCACATGACGACAGAAAGTGTGATGAGACTTGATGACACATCGTGCCTGTCACCGAACCCATCTCCCCGGCACATTATAGTCCGGCAAAAGTCACAAGATAAGCAAATAATTATGATTTAAAACCAGAGAGTCTTGTAATTTATTCATGAATGCCACCCATTCTAGATCTGATCTTCCGCTTTAATTTAGTTGTACTCTTTGAAGCAAATTTATAAGATTTAAATTATTCAGAAAAGGCCACCAAGCTAATAGGAGGAAATACTTCAATGCCAGACAGTGTCACGCTGTCCTGTGTGGTGTGGTGGTGAACTGCGGTGACCCGCAGCAGTCGGGTTCAAGTCCTGCCTGCACCACCTTGGGCCCGCTACTGGGCCTGTCTGTGTCTCAACTTCCCCATCTGGGAAGTGGGTGACCGTAATAGCACCTACACCCCAGAGTTGTTTTAAGGATTAAATAATATATAAAGCACTTTGAACGATAACAACTGCTTTATTAGGGGTTACTCTTGTTATTTCAACATTTTTTTTTCTTTTCCTTTTTTTCTTTTCTCCATGTTCCCTCATTCACAGTACAGACCAGGCAAAAGGACGGGGCTGAGGTGTGTGTGCCGGGGGTTTGCTCTGCCGCCCTTTTCTGTGCAGGTGGGGTGAGAACACAGCCTGTGGTAAGTAAGCGCTGGGAGGCCTCAGCATTTTAGACTATAAACATTCTATTATGTTGTCCAAGTGACAAGTATCCCTAAGCTGATGACGCAAGGAAGTGTTTCAGGGTCCCTTAATTTTCCATCAGCTTTGTGAGGAAAAAGTGCCACAGGGACAAGGCGGGCTGAGGAAGCTGTGGGAAGGAGACTTGGCTGGTTCAGGCTTCGGTTCAGGGAGATACAGGACACAGGCACTCGGAACCAAGTCCCAGGGATAGGCTCAGCAAAGCAGGCTCCGAGAGGCACAAAGTCGAGATGAGGTCGCTATTCTACCCCTGACACCTTTAACTCTTTCCTCACGGGATGGCGTCCCTGAGATGACCCCCGACACTGCAGTGGGTGCTCCCAGACTCTGTTCAGGCTTCAGTTAAATGGAAGGGGTGAGGTCTAAAACATCCCATTACCACGTCAGCTTCGAAGACAGCAGTGCTCGGGGACAGAGAACAGTGTATGTTTTCTAAAAACATTAAAGGGAAGGATGGAAACGATGAAGAAAAATGACCTGAGGGTAAGGGGACAATAGGTTCTGGTGGACCAGGGACAGGCGAGTTGTCGCCTGTTGCCCTCACGTGAGTATGAACAGTGCCCGTCACCCTCTGGAAAGCATCTGGAAGGGTCTGATTTTGACTGAAAAGTCACATGATTATCCTACCAAAGAAGAAATCAGCCAGAAGACCCTCCCCATAGGCTTGGAGAGGCCCCCTGCCTGGCCCGGCTTCCACCAGGAAAAGCAAGCTCAGCTCCACGTGGCTCTGGTGCCACCTACAGGCTGTCTGGGGAAATGCCTCTCCCTTTTCCCGACAGCCTTGAACTTGGCCAAAGACATACAGAGTGCCTAAAGCTGGATGCTCTAGGGGTGTGGGGTGGGCTGGAACCAGGTAGTGAAGCCTGACTTATGGAGCCACACTGGCCCAGCTGGGGCCAACTAAACCAAGCTCCTCTCTTCCTGCCCACCTCGGTCCTGCCTTGCTTAGTAAACGGGAAGCTGAGGCCCAATCCAGACTTGAATGGGTAGGCTTGTGGGGCATATGGCTGGAGCCTTCCTGGTATCATCACCCCCATGTCTGTTTTCCCCCAGGGTTACCAAATCCAGTTGGATAGTGAGGAAGAAAGGGAGCGTGAGCTCCTACTATGTGCTGGGCACAGAGTAGGCACTTTATGTACCTTATCTCCAGCCTTATAAATAGCTTGAGAAGTAAGTGATATAGGAGCAGAGGGGGCCTGTGACTTGCTCATGGGCCCTCAGCTGCCATTTGAACCCAAGGGTCTTGTTTTGGGGTCTCTGACTTGAGCAGTGTGTGCAGAACCCGGTGCACCCCGTGGGAATCGAATACGGCCCCGCAAGAAGACTGCATTGCCAGCACAAGCGGGGAGCGCCTTTTCTTTGGGTGGAAGTGTCTCAGCGACACTGTCGCTCTACGAGACATGGGCTGTCTCCCAGGAACACGGACGCAGCTTGCTATGGGTACAGACTGTTTGAGCAACCACAGGCTCCGTCAGCCTGTGGGGCCCTGTGGGGCCTGGGCAGTGGAGGCGGAAACCATCAGTCCCCCACCCCATGTATCCCACAGTCCACACTCTCCTCTCCCTGGTTCCCTTGAGGACTTCCTTTCAGCCTGTTTGTTTGATGGTGGTGAAATGCACACAGGGTGAACCCCACCTTTGCAACCACTTCTAGGTGGAGAGTGTGGTCATGTTAAGTGTATTCTCACTGTTGCTCAACCGACGTCCAGAGCTCTTTTTGTCTCTTGCGAAACGGAAACTCTGTCCCCATAGAACGCTAATGCCCTACTCTGCCTCCCTCAGCCCCCGGCCACCACCACGGTACTGTCTGTCTCTGAGATCTCCACCACTCTGGGCCCTGTGAACAAGCAGGACTGTTCTACGGTATTTTTCTTCTCATGGCGGGCCTGTTTGGTTAGCACCATGTCCTCGAGGTTTGTCCCTGTTGTAGCCTGTGCCCGAATTTCATTCCATTTTAAGGCTGAATAAGGTCTGTCATCTGTAAAGACCACATCTTGTTATCCATCGACCCACCAATAGGCACTGGGGTGGCTTCTGCCTTTTGGCTATTGTGAATAATGCTGAGCATTGTTGCTCAAATATCCGTTCCATTTGAGGTGTTTTTTTTTTTTTTTTTAATTTATTTACTGACTTTTAGCCCTGGCTGGTGTGGCTCAGTGGATTGAGTGCAGGCCTGTGAACCAAAAGGTCTCTGGTTCGATTCCCAGTCAGGGCACATGCCTGGGTTGCAGGCCGGGTCCTCCCTAGGGCGCGTGCAAGAGGCAGCCACTGATGTTTCTTACACTGATGTTTCTCTCCCTGTCTTTCCCCCTTCCTTCCCCTCTCTCTGAAGATAAATAAATAACATCTTAAATTTTTTTATTGACTGGCTTTTAGAGAGAGAGAGAGAAACATTGATTTATCCCTGTTATTGACACATTCATTAGTTGCTTCTTGTGTGTGCGCTGACCAGGGATCGAACCTGCGACCTTGGTGTATTGGGATGATGCTCTGACCAACTGAGCAACCTGGCTGGGGCCCCCTTTGAGTTGTTTCTGATACAGTTTTGTTTTACCCTTATGTAAATCTAAAGTTTACATACCTATTTCCTTTGTAGCTGCTTTCCAAGTTATATACAGTAAACATACTTCTGAGAATGGCTTTTTCCCGTTGCTATGGAATCTGGTTTATGGCTGGAGTTCCTTCTTTTGTCTGCTGTGCAACCACAGGGGAGGGTGCAGGTTCCTGAGGTGTCTGTGCTCCGCTCTCTAGGACTGCAGGTGGGGATGACCCCTTGGGAGAGTTCGGCTCTGCCTGACAGGGTTGAGCTGACACCCAAGAGGAGTTCCTGCCTGTGGAAATGAGGGCTGTGTTCAGGAGGGTTCCTGACAGCCCCGCACCCAGCAGGAGAGCCTGCTGCCCGTGGGCTGGACGGCAGAGGGGTAGATTGTGGTGCAACGGGAACGGTTTCCTTTCTCTCTGGCTTCCTGGAGTCATGTGATGTCAGCGGCCTCTGTGTGGCCGGCACAAGGAGCAGTGGGCTCTCGCAGCAGCCAGGGCTGCAGAAGTGGTGGGCCTGCTCAGCCCCAGGGCGACCCCTCCTACCCCAAACGAGAGCGGGTAGGATGAAGGGCCCCAGAAAAGTGCCAAGGGTTTGGGGTGCGGAGGGGGAAGGTTTGACCTCTAAGACATAGCAGCATAGACATCTTATCAAATGCTTCTGTCCTTGGGCTGGACCTTCCCCTATAACACTCTCAAGTTCATTGGGCCGGCATCCATGCAGCACCTACCCCCTGCCTGACACTGCACTAAGCACGTCCGTGTTATTTGCCTCTCACCCTCACCTGTCAGCATGCCTCAGGGTTGGTGCTTCAGGCATATCCCCTCCATTCCCAGGTGAGGAAGCCCGGCCTCGGCCTCCTCAGGCAGCTTCCTGGCAGCCCCATGGCTGGAGAGCGGCTCAGCCCGGACCCCAAAGCTGCGGCTCCAGGAAGGGGGAGATCTCTGCAGGCTTTGGCCAGCTTTCCTCCCCACAAATCTTCCTCCAGATGTTCTCACAAGTCGAGCAGAGGTCCACCTTTTTCATAGAGCGAACAGAACTCACAGCCCCTTCATTTTGGAGGGGAAGGAAGTTAGTAAAGCTGCAGAGAACTCATTTTCTTTCCACATACTCATAAAGCAGCTGCTGGGGCACCTCCTCCAACAGGCTGTGCCTGGGGGTGTGCTCCAGGGCCAGGCATCACCCTCAGTCATGGTCAAGGGCAGCGAGGCCTGCCCTGGCCACACCGTTGTGAGTCGGCCTGGCTTTCTGAAGAGTCGCTCTATTGTTGGTGATCAAAGAGGCTCTGAGGAGACGGGGTGTGGGTGGGCCGAGGTCCGACCTGAGCCCTCCTGATCTGGGCCTAACCTTCTCCCCAGTTTCAGGAAGTCTCAGCAAGCAGGGGATGGCCACCGTGTCCCCCAGCCCCCTCTCCCAGCCAGATGGGCGCCCCATTTTCTTCCACTTTCTCCGCCTTAAGATCTGCGGCCTGGGGCCCGGCCTAGTTGCCTTTCCACGGAGCCACCTGCAGGCAGAGAGTGAGTGGCTTTGTCCTGGCAGGACCCTGTCCCCTCTTTCCTCTTCCTGATTTTCTGTGACCCCTACCCTGGCTGTATATTATCCTTTTCTCTCACCACCATTTCTCATTCTCCTCCAAGTTGGATCGCTCGGGCCAGCCAGCGGTGGCTTCTTGACAGAGACAGGTCTAGGCGCCTGCTGGTGGCCCAAAGACAGGGCAGCACATCCCTGTCATAGCTCAGTAGAAGCGATGGCTCCACGGTGAAGTAAACCCGATACTGCCAGGGCCTCCGGGGTCAAGAGCCTCACACACTACCATGAGGGCCCAGAGCTGAGCCCCAGGGTGCATACACTTCCCCCCGAGGGTGCTCCAGAGCACGGCTTAGGTGCTCTCCCCCACCCTCAGTGCACGAGCAGTGGGCACGATAGTTACCGTAGCTAACAACGGTCGAGGGCACGGCCTGAGCCAGGCAGCGCAGTAAAAGTTTTCACATAGACCACCTCATCCAGTGATTTCTATCTTTCAGACCAAGAAGCTAAGGCTTTACCGTGGCCAAGTGGCTGAGTTTGTTGGAGCGTCATCCCTCACACCAAAAGGTTGCAGGTTCAATCCCTGGCGGGGGAGTGTATGGGAGAGGCAACTGATTGATGTCTCTCTCTCTCTCTCTCTGTCTGTCTTTCCCTATCCCTTCCTCTATCTCTAAAATCAACAAACATATCTTTGTGTGAGGATTTAAAAAAAGAAAGGAAAGGAAAGAAACCGAGGCTTAAAGCTGTTAAATATTTTACCGCCAGCAAAATGGTGGAGTCAGGACTTCAACCCAGGCAGTCCAGCTCCGGGTTCCTGGCCCTGAGCCATTATAACATCCAGTGTCAGCAACACAAAATTAATGGGCACACATGTTCAATTATATTTTAAGAGGGT